TAGTTTGGCAAGACATCGTTGCAAGCTTTGCTGGATCCTGCCGCATGCCCAGACATACTCCCTGGTGTTCAAACCACTAAGCTCTCTTGGTGGGTGACACACAGCTTGTCCAGCATTTCCTCAGAACCAACATCCCCAGGCCTGTGCAGGAAACTCAGGTGCTCTCTGTGGCACTCAGGGAAGCCTTTTTACCATCTCAGCCGTCCTGGGACAGGGTCCAGTCCATACAGGAAAGGTGTGTTTTGTGTGGCAAGTTACTACAGGATAAATTCCTGCAGCCCAGAAAGAGTGGCTGCCAATTCTTCTGGTATGACAGGTAAATGACCTTCCAAATTTCCCCTCTTGGCATGGCCATCTTATGGGTGGATTACCTCAGGCAGTGTGTGTTCTATGCCCAGTATGGCCAGGAGGGTGGAGGGGTCAGAGGCCAGTGTGCTGGCAGGGAGTTAGGGGCCTGGTGTCCACCAATGACCTACAGTAGGACTGTGAGCAGGCTGTTAAACTTCTCTGAGTCTGTTTCAAACTCTCCTCTGCTCCTTGGTGGAAACAGCTCAAAATCTCTTCTCTTAGGGGGATGCATGATGCAATGAACAGATGCCCAGACTGGACCTGTGATGCCAGGGAAGGGTAGGAGGCCTGAGCAAAGCACACCGGGGTGGTACGAGGTAATGGAGCAGCTGAGGGCATGCGTGTGAGGGAGAGCGAGGACACCCATCCTGTACAGAACCTTGCACGTAGTAGGAGCTCATTAAGAATTTGTTGATTGATTGCTGGCCTAAGAGCTCTCTCTCCATACTTCACTTCTGTGTGGTCTGGAAGGAAGATGCAGAGTATGACTGCATAGGCATCGTGACCTGGACAATGGGGGCAATTATCCAGAAAATGAGCCATCGCTCACCCCCCCTCCCACACTAAATCTTTTGCAATAATTACCTGACATTTCAAATGAAGCAGGATTTTTAAGAACCTATGTAATTGAGGCGAATATTAGAGACTCACACGGCTCCTTCTGCCTGAGAAAAACACGTGTGCTGTTTGATTCACCTGTCTTCTTTTCTTTACAATTAATAGTTACACTTTTACCTTTTTTTAAAAGTGATATTTAGACATTGTAGAAATTTTAGAAAATGAAGAAAAGCAAAAAGAAGTTGCTTCTAACAACCAGAGATACTTAACATTTCAGTGTACTTATTTTCAGATTTTTTAAAGCTTTTTTCCTTC